AGCTAACGTGCGAAAACTAGTTTTCTGGGAAACAGCTGTTAAAAATCTCATCTTCCATCCGAATCAACTAAAAAGTGAAAATTGATTTTTTGGTTTTTTTGACACCTAAGCCCCCTTTCCGTAGACCAGGTCACATATATTATTTTAGAGAAAATCTGAAGTTTATTATAGAAACTTCGAGGCTTTGATATACAATTTCCAAAAACTTTTTTGAAATATTTTAATAAAAAAAAAAACCAAGTCATATCATTTGCATATTTTAAACATATGCAATATATTCGTTTATTGAGAATTATCCGCTCTTCAATAAATAAAAAATAAAAATTACATGCTGCCACCCCTTTCTTAACTTAAACTTTGCCTGCTTGATTTTGTTAACAGTCTTCTTCTGTAGCAAAAGTGACACATTTCATCTTGTAGCTAACATCCTTTTTGCCATCCGAAACTCCCCACACCGTGTTTCTCTATTTTATTGTAACGCTCTACATTTTTATTGCGTTATTCTTTCGCATCGAAAACAATTTTAACGACACTTGTGATGGGTGTGTGAATGACGTCTTACACCCACTTTACTTGGATATTCAATTTGATTATATAAAAATTTTACTACTTTTGATTTTTATTTATTTCAAATTGACGCCGTCTACAGATATATACGAGGAGGTACGCGATGATTTGGGTGTTAAATTGAGGTTCTCATACGCATATTTATGACAAAAATAAACACGAAATAAAATTTTTGGTATTTTATGTCCTAATTTATTGCGTCTATGTGTTATACATATTTTTTAATGGTGGACAACCCAAAATGGTTCAAAAACATACAAATTATGAGCTGAACGTTAGCAAACGGGAATATATTTTATTTGTTTATTTGGGAAAATATAATCTAATGCCACCTTCATTTATCACTCAATTGCATGTGTGCCCATCTTGATTTTCCCACGACTCACATAATCGTTCCCTTAGCAATAGAATCTTAGAATGCTGCCGTTGTTGTACCTAAAACTTCTATATAATAAGTGATTAAACCCTTACGATACGACAAAGTGCTTTAAACTTTTCACAAATATAAAAATCATGTAGCAGTTTTGGTTTTAACTTCTAGTTTACCGTAGAAATGAAAACCAAGATGTTTCAGCGTCAGTCATGCAAAGGCTGGACAATTGCAGAGAAAGTCACTAGATGTTTCCACCTCATCTTCTTCAATAAAACTTTGAACACGAGCTTTGGCGAATATTCTTAGCCTTACTGCATGGATGCTTATTGCACAGTGTCCAGTAAGAACTCTTACGATTGCGGGAAGATGAACTTTGCTCAAGTAGTTCAGTAGATCTTTTGCATTCTACTCAAAAGCAAATGGATCTCGCAGTCGCGCAGGAGCTGCTCTTTTAACAGCACATGGTGATGAAGTAGCTTGATACTATTTCTAGTGCGGATAGAGAATCTTTAGCTACCTTTTAGCTCACAGTTTGCGAGCTCAGAGCTAGTATTGCCGCTCTGCAGTTCAAATGAGTGCTCATCTTAATGAAAGGAGGTGCACACTTCAAAGCGGAGGTCGGGTAGCCTAAAGCTATGGTTGATGGAGAGTTCCTTACAGAAAACTCTTTCTACAACATTTCTTCATAACTTCGAAACATCCGTGAAGAAGATAACTGCATCTTTTCTCGGCGACTCTCCTCATCCACATGAGGAATCTGGTTTACGGTATATTAATAGAGAAGAAGTCGTAAGAGTGACCTTTGCGGCGTACTGGTCCAAGTCTTCAGATATGCAATTGAAAGATAATAGAATATAAGTGCTATTTTCAACTTCTCGCGCCTTGTTTTGCTTCAAAGCCTGAATCGAAGAGGCATTGTCCCCATAGATTTTAAAATTTATATATCGGGACAGGAAAAAATCTAACGGTTTGATATCACAGGATCTTGTGGGAAAATCGACCGGCTCTAAACGTGAAATTATCTGCTAACCGTAGTGTTAGCGTCGAATCGACTTTACACGGGCTTCGTGCTTACCCTCAGCTACGGCTGCTATATTTTCTTTACTGAGTGCTGGACGTGGACTATTCGGTCGAATATTATCTAATAATGAATGCTGGATCTCCAGATGGGTGATAGTATGCTCAGCATGCCGATTATGTTGACCATAAGCTGAGTCTTAGCAGGATGTGAATTTTCGTAATAAAGCTGAACGATTTGTCAACGTTGTTCATTCAACATTACTGAAAAAAGGCTTCGCGCGCTTTTAGATTTTTTGGTAATTATTTTATTATATAACCGATATTAAATACGTTCTTTTTTTAATTTTTCTTCATTCTAAATCTAAATTAAATTTTCTTCAAATTTGAAAATTTTCAACCAATGCACATTAATACTCTACTATTTAATGATCTCACATACACACACATATTAACAAGTAAATTTGTTTTATCTACAAAAAGTTGTAAAGGGCGAAATTTTCGAAACCGAAAACGAAAAAGAATCCACTGCACCACACATTCGTTGTGCCCCAGTTTTGACTCCCCAACCACAACCACAAGCCACCTCGAGTTTTATATTATTTTATTACACATGTATTTATTTCCATTTTATTTGTTGTACAACATTTCCAATCATTTGGCACGAGCACAACAACAACAATGGCAACAACCACACCAACAACAAGCGCAACATCAAAACCAATCGCTAAACTTTTTAACAAACTTTTATTAGATAGACCTGCAGTTACAGTATATTTGTGCTGCGGCAATTGTTATTCCAACTTCATTTGCTAATGACAATAAAAAACAAATACAGTGGCAACTACAGCCACATACATATATACAGACATACATACATATGTGTTTGGCATGTAGTGGCAGCATTGCACAGGCAATAACATGGCAATAAGTCGGTGACACTGGCGAAATCGCATTCAATACAAAGCTCGCAATGGCAACAAACAAATAAAATGAATAAACAAACGGCAGCTACTGCTACAACAACAGCAACGACAATACATTACTATAAAATGTAGCTACTAATTGTTATTACCGAACTAATCTAATCTAAAAGTTGTAAACAGTTTTACTTTGCGGGATTAGTTGCCGGACGATTACAATTGGCCAACCGTGTGGAGGAATTGGGGCAAGGAAAACTCACTTACAAACGAATGAGCGTGTCCGTATGTGTGATAGGAGTGGTGAGTGTGGTGTCGAAGTGTACGAAACAACTTAATAGATTTTTTGGGTATAAGGGACATTACCTCGAAGCAGCCAAGTTTTGCAAGGAATTGCTGGAGACGAAATTATTTGTTGCAGAAATGTAAAGTATCCGCGATTTTTATTTGGTAATGATATGTGCCACTTGTCACTTTTGTAAAATATTGAAATAATCGCAATGTAAAATTAAATAAAAAAAAAAAAAAAAAAAAAAAAAAAAAAAAAAAAAAAAAAAAAAAAAAAATTAGTCAATTTGTCTCTAAAACTATAAAGGCTATAGCTTTTTTCTATGATCAAATTTGACCCGGACTGTCAAAAAAACTGCACTTTCATGTTTTTCTATAGAAAAGTTTATTATCACCTTACAAGTGTGCTAACGCTAAATACATTTTTCCATAAACTTCGACTGAGGGGACTTTCAGGGCGTTCACCGAACGCATTTTTTTTATCAGTTTTAAATCATTTTTGGAGCGCTATTCGTCAGATTATTTGTAAATTCAACGTCTACGTCTTATTCATAGACCCAACCTATATTGGTGCGTTTGTTAAATGAAGGTTTTTCAGCTACGTTGTCAATCACAACTTTTACGTCATCAACTTGACATCGTTTTTGCAAAAGATTCAGGGGTTTTGATATGAGTGTAGACCAACCGCTTCAAATGTAAGACTATAACTACAACTATAACTGAAACTATAACCAATATAATACCCAAAATTATACATAAAATTGTACCATAAACTATACCCGAAATATTATGCAATATGTTCTCAGTCAATCCACTCTTATGGATTGGATACTCCGCTGTTTCTGCGATGTCAACATGACAACTATACCCAAAATTATGCCCAAAACTATACACAAAGTTGTACCATAAACAATACCCCAAACTATACCCAAAAGGTTAAACAATATGTATTGAGGCAATCCATAAGACGTGTTGGGAAACTCTACTCTTTTTCTAATATCAGCACAACAACCATGAAGCTCTGTTTCTTTAACTCTTTCTATGTTATCGACGTGATAGACGATTCGCATGAGGACAGTTTTCTATGACATCACGACCTTCACTGACGACTGCTCAAATACTTGTGTTCTTGATAAAATAGACTCCGCAAAACACTTCTGCGCCACTTTTAATTGTTTCATAGCACTGATTCTATTCGAAATATACAATTTCAAGCAAATTCGTTGTTCAGTATTTCATTCCCTGGCTGTCAAACACACACCTCTTGCCATATGGTGACCAAACCTCGCACGAATATCAAAGAGAATATAGCAAAAATGATTTTAACTATATGCAAGCGCAGCTTATGTGGACTTTTCCGACTCTTATTTGAACTTGAGTGTATAATTTTTAATAAAAAATTAATAAATTTAATACTACTTTGTTCCACTTTCATACCTTAGATCATTACTCACTTTACCCAAACTAACTAACCGCATTTTCCTACATTTTTCTCCACCCTTTCAACAGTGAACTAATGTCTGAAAATGAGGACATTAACAGCGCTCAAACAAACAGTAACGAACCAAGTTGTGCCACTGATGCTTATACCGAGTCGATGCTGACCGATGATTGCTCAAATTTAATAGCCCTTTCGAACAATAACTGCACAAATGGCAATGCCGTGGATAATACAAATGGTGATGCCACCGAAGATAATGAATTCAACAAAGATCAACCAGATCCGGACAATATTAAAATGTTTGTCGGTCAAATACCCAAGTCCTGGGATGAGGCGCAATTACGCAAAATGTTCGAACAATATGGACGCGTACACACTTTGAATGTGCTGCGTGACAAGGTGACGTCGGTGAGCAGAGGTGAGTTATGCCATCATGTGTAGAATATGTTACAGAAAGAAATCAAAGTGATGTGAGTATAGTTTTTAAAAAATAAGTTATACAATTTGTACATAAGCACACGCATAAACAAATTTTTTGAATTTAATGAATAAAGATATAATAATAAGACGATCTCTAATACGATTAACATTTCATAATTATACCATATAATGACTATCTTATAGGAAGACCTTAGAAAAAAATATTTTTTTTATTTTTTATTTTTTTTTTTTTATTTATGTGGTTTCTTCAAACAATCAGATTTATATATGTAATATTATATATATAGGAAATATTTGAGTTGAGGGCCAAAAATTCATCCAAATTCTAAAGAAGAGCTTCTAATTTATTAGCTGTTTGTTTTTAAATTTCTGATATTGAGAATCAAGATTTTAAGCACTCATATGCATAAGTTTTTGAAACAACTTGTGTACTATTATTGAGACTACAAGAAAAAATATTCTTGATATGGGCAAAATGTAATATTGGCGCAATTTGAGAAATAGTTTAAAAACAGCTGCTTTGGTTATAGCGAAAGTATCCAAATGTGATTCTTTAGCATACTTTCAGGCGGGTGGTCACATAATGAAAACAGGTTTCTTCTTCTCTATTGGCGTAGACACCGCTTAAGCGTTTATAGCCGAGTTCATCCGAAGCTGTTTTCCTCTTTTGATTGCTAGTGTTTTTAACGAGGCGGCTCCAAAACCATAGTGCATAACCCTGGGGAGGGGATATTTTGCCTTCTCACTTTAGCTCTCCTTCTCTCTTTTTGCAATCAAGGATGTTTTTTGGCTACCCAGAGGATACTTGGTCTAATCGTGAACTGATTAAGCCATATGTAAAAGCATCGTTTCTGGCTACCCCCAAATAAGTGGCGCTCAGAGAACTTTCCTAACATGCTTGAATTTCTACACATGGCTCCAGCCTCCACAGGATTATTAGCCTGTATAAATACACATAGATTTTGGTTTCCTTTTCAAAGAAATGTGAACATCGTTCTTACTCGAGCCTAAAATACATTTTATCAATATAAGTTTCCACATGTTTGGTAAAATATGCGTTTATATAATAAGTACAAGACCTTGCATTTAAAAGTCATATGTGCGATAGTGTTTGGTATTTCAGTGTATTATAGCATAGTAATAATATGTTTTTGCTATAACTACGCAAACGGTATGTACACCAATAAAGAAAAAGAAGTATATTATGTTTTCGTAGTCACCTGCCTTCAAACAGAATGCGATACGAATTACTTCAAAAGCGTGAAACTAAAAATATTTTACAGCTGAGCTGGTCATTCAATTTTTAGTGCTCCACACTTATAGCCAATTACCCATACCTGAATTATGTAAAGCTACTATTACCGTTGCCTGACTGCGCAATAACACAGAACTTATGGTAAATGATAGGCCTTATTCAATATGCACATGTGGCAATAATCCAAAAATAAGCGTTTCGAATACTATAAATATTTAATTGGAATTTCAAAAAAGAATATGCATAGTAATATTGAGAAAGAAAACTCATATTTAGGATCTAATCAGCATTCAAATATCAAGCTACCCAAAAATTTCATGGCTATAAATCTTTATACATATCATTGTTGCATTATGAAGACAGTTTTGAATTTCTTAAAGTTGAAATATATATTACTCTTACCTCTATAACTAAACAGAGATCGATACAATTTTTTATTCAGACACCCTTTCTGTTAAATTTATATTATATTTAACTTTCAAAACGTTTTTTAACTCTTTTAAGACCTTTGTAACTTGCAAATAATTTCAAAACAGTGTCGAGTAGACCGTTCCTCTTCCAAAGAAATCCTTTTAGAGCAAGCAAATCTGTATTTTTTGTACTATTTATTCAAGCGATTACAGTTTGCGACCTAACTTTGAGTATTTTTCAAGTTATTTTAACTCAGTTGGCTAAAGGGAGAACTTTCAACAGAAATCATGTAAAATTTTTCTTGGAGGTTTTGTCCATACATCATGTTACTTGCAGCTTTGCTCTACTTACTCTTAGATCATCGCCCAGAAAAACATATTTTTTGCCAAAATTAAATTTGTCTTCAACAAAGTTTCTTTCAAGGCTAAAGCAGTAATTCTAGTGATCTTCTTTTCGATATCATTTTTGTAGCATGAATTGTATATTTTGTCAAAACTGGCCTCGGTTCAGCGATCACCTCTTCACTCGACGAAAATTTCTTCCCAGCAAGCAGAAACAGAAAAGAGTCGCCGAAAGCCAAATCTGGAGCATACGGTGGATGCGGAAGTAATTCGAAGCCAATTCATAGCTTTTTGCTATCGTTTTCACTGACTTGTGACACCGTGCATTGCCTTAGTAAAAAAAACACTTTTTTTTCAAAAGCTGATATTTTTCGTCCATTTTGCTTTTCAAGCGAACCAGTAATGCTATATGATAGTCGCTGTTGATGGTCCTTCCATTTTTCCAGGTAGTCAATAAAAATTACTCCATCCTGAAAACAACTTTGTCAGCCCACTGTTTTTCACGCTTTGGAGCGGATTAATCGTGTGCAGTCTACTCGGATGACAGTCGATTCAACTTCGGGGTGAAACGATGGAGGCCACGATGCAAAAACTGTGGAACATCTACAAAAGACTCCTCCGAATAATTAACTCGTCGTGGTTTTTGGTCAAAAGTGAGCGGCAACCATTTTTCTCAGTGCTTTCTCATACCTAAATATTTGTGAACGATATGATGTACACATTCAGTTGATATCTTTAGAGTGCCTGCTATCTAGATCAATTTCGGTTTTTCAAAATTATTTTGTAGATATTTTTCTGTTTTCGTGGGTAACAACGTCTTTTGGATGTCCACTGCGTTCCTCATCCATCGATCCTTGATGGTTGGTTTTCTTGGGGCAGTGTCTGGAATCTCGCCCCCAAGCCAAGCTTATGCTTCGTCTTTACTTTTTCCCTGTAAAAATTAAAATTTTATTAATACGTGAAGCTCCTTTTTATTCAATTTTTCACAATAACAAAAGGTGTTTAAAAAAAAAAAATGATATTCAAAACTAATTATCTCACAGCTGTCAATTCTATACACACGCCTTTTGAAAGTTATTCTAACTAGAAACCATATTGACTTAATTTTGATAGCGCCTTCTATGCGTGAAGCCGAGTTCTAACTCTGGTTTCTTCGGATGTTCACAGATAAGATCTCTTCCATATATGCAGATCGTATTTTTACCAATCTTCTCAAATCTAAATATCAGCAATGGTGGGGCATATTCCACTTATTTTACACTTCCCTTCAGTGAGTTGTGCAATTCAGTCTGCAAACTAAATATAGTCAAGCATCTCAAAATGTCCGCTACAATATTTTCGGATTGGGCTTATATTGTATTGAATAGAGACTGCAAACTATTAGTGAAGGCTAACCTTACTTGAATGAACATTAACTTGTAGTTTTCAGCATTTCTAGTCAATCGGTCAGTTAGTCAGATTTTTAATTCAAATCAGACTGCTACTTCGTAGCATATTTGTAAGCGCTTTAGCCTTCAGTGATAGAGTTGATAGACTGAATTAGTGCTGAATACGAAGATCTTGAGTTCCATGATATCTTAGTATGACCAAACTCAGTTACTATACTATGCTTTGATTGATAACTTACTGCCTGGAGCCGGAAATCCTATGCCATAAGTCAGAGTTGACATGCTGTCATTCCACTCTGGTAACCTTACTTTCACAATATAAACACAAATTACATTAATTTATTATATTTTATAATATTCTTATATATATTTTTATAAACTTTTAGTTATTTTACCATAAGATAAGTATTGAAAATATTAGCATTACAATATTATAACTTTAATGCAATAAGCCACATTAAATTCTAGTGCATGTTATGCTTGTGCGGATGCGATTCAATGTCAAGTGTCAAGTCCACGTATGAGTAATTCTTAGCTTTTAGTCACAGTAATGTAAATGTTGTTCAGTTTTGATTGTTCAAGCTTGTTGCATGCCGTGCCGCATAATATACTTAATATATGATTAAATTTAAAGTATATACAGCCAGCATAAGCGATTATTGAAAGCGCTGTGTTTTGAAGAATTGCATGCGGCGCTTATTTAACATTAATGTCGGCAATTTCTATTGAGTATTGAATTATTTAAATTGACTAATTGCATTTAAACCAAGTAGCGAGTATCCATTGTCTTGAACTGTCCACGTTTGTTTTCTGATCTATGTATTTTCGTTCTTCTTTTCCGCTTTTTTCTGTGTTGCAGGGTGCTGTTTTGTTACGTATTATACACGCAAGGCTGCTTTGAAGGCACAAGATGCCTTACATAACATAAAAACACTCGAAGGGGTAAGTACCTAGTACATATACATATAGTTGCCATTATCATTACTGTTTAGTATTGTTTATCCGCCGCCCCCCCTCTTGCTGTTTTGTTCATTACGAATTTTTGTCTTGTGTGTGCTGTGCTCAGTTTACGAAGTGTTCGATTCGTTTTTTTTTTTTTTCTCGATAATACGAAATGAAATTTCAGTATGCTTTTGACTGCAGAGATTCCCTTAGTTTGCCAGAGTGTTAATGTAAGAGCAAACGTAAATGTAATTGTATTTTTGTGTTACTTTCAATTTAATGAAAAATTAGCTCGAAATCGAAATTATTTGCGAAAGCACAGTGCTTTGATGAGGTAGACTGTGTGCACAAAAAATAAAAATTGAGAAAAATCAATAATTCTATGTGAGGTAGAGTGCAATTTAGACATCAATAGCTATTTTTTTTTTATTATATTAACGGATCAAAATCATAAATTTAAATTAATTGGCCGTGTTAGTTGTAAGTTTCCATAATATCAATACATATTAACAGTAATCTGTAGTATTTTTCGAATAGTTTCGTCTCTGCATGATTCACATTTGCTAGTAGTATATATAAATACTTATCTGTCTTAAAATTTTTTATATAGTTATAGTTACAAAGCAATAATAATCGTTACATATACTATATTACCCACACTTTGCTTAGCGACTTAAAAGTTCTCAGCGATATATTCCGAATCCCAGTTTAATATTGCATTGAAGTTCGAGACATGAAAAAATTACAATTTAAAAATTTATAAAAAAAAAGTAAAAACATAAAAACTTGCAGAGATTTAAAAACAAATTTATATTTTAAATATAATATAATGGCTGTTTTTGTTGATCCAGTTTCAACCCAAGTTCCTTGCAGGGAGCACCACGAATGCTTGGCGATTCATCTGGAATCAATCAGACACAAAAAATGGTTTTATTAATAGAAAATCTAGTGCCTGAATTGAATATTTTTATTTTAATTAACAAAACGGCGACATCTTGAAATTTTTTCAGTTTTTCGGAAAATAAACAACAGTTAGTTGTTTTTACAAAATCGAAATTAGTAAAAAAAAAAAAACCAAAAATACAAATTTTAAAAAAGTTTCATATTGTCATAAAAGTGCGTTTTTCCGAGCTACAGTGACTACCAATCAAAAAACGTAGGCTTGTGGAAACCGGATACGACGTTTTCACAGCGTCAAGAACCCTTTGCTAATTATCCAATTACCCGAAAATTCTGTGTCGGCTTTAATTATGATTTTCAGAGAATATTTGTAAGATATAATGGACAACTTTTGACTAAGAATTCTCAATTCGACTGAAAGTCTCCTAAAATTATGCAACGAGTTAAGATCATAACTGCGCAACATATCATCCAATTTGTTTGTTGTTGATATTGAATATTTTGGTAGTGCTTACATTGCAGCCTTTTTCAAATACGATCTAGAAACTCTGAACAATATTTAAGTTGGTATTCTACCTTAATCGCCTTAACTATTTTAGTGAGAGTTCATCGGCCGCTGACCTAGAGAAAAGCTGGATTATTAGTAGTATTTAATATGGTGAGTTCTGATCTAGTTTCTAGCATATTGCCAAAGTATAAAGACAATTTACTAACGCTGCTTATTGAAACCTTTTTTCAAAGATATATAATACGATAGAAGAACTATTTTTAGATTTATAACTAAATAGGGATCGGTATCACACTCTCTTTCAGTTTAATTTATAATCTAGCAATCTTAATATCGTTTTTTAACTCTTTCAATATCTTTGTAATTTAAAATAATAAAAAAAAAAAATTATTCAGAAGATCGCTGCCCTGCCGATGACATTTTTTTTCTTTTCAAATATTCCTAACCCGGGCTTAAAGCTATTTTCCTGCGACTTATTCTTCTTGCCAGTGTCTCTATAGTAGTCTATTTCACTCTCTACCGAAATAGTATTAAAATAAAAAACGCAAAGTTGCTTTCAACCAAAGTAGACTTCTTGTGAACATTTTCGATATAAGAAGCGAACTAAGAGAATGCAATGCATTTTTTTCTGCTAGTTAAATATTCAGTCTCTATGAGTTCCTTTAATCTTCTTCATCACGAGCTTACCTATAATTTTTTTTTTATTTTTTCAGCATTTCTAATCTATAACTTTTGTTTTTTCAAATTATTTTGTAGTACTGCCTTCAAAGGTTGCTAGGGGTTGGTTGTTATTCTATATGTAACCAACAAGTTGTTCCCTATTTCGAGTATATTTCTACAGAAAGTACTAGAATGACAAATTTAGTTATATACGTGTATTCTGTTATGAGAAAGCAAGCTCTGATTTTAGGTGCCTAAACTTCAAATATTTTTTTCAAAGTATTTAGTTAAGCTACATGAAATGTAAAGCAAGCAACGAAAAACTGGTTCTAAGTACCCAACTTTTTGAATGCTCTCAAAAATGTAAGCATACTTTCAGGCTACAGAAAACTGCAGTTTTTTAATAGTGAGTAGTGAAACAATATGGTAGGTGTCAACGAACTTCGAATATGTGCAAGGTGTCACTTCATGCAATAAAGTGTGTTTGTGAGACACCGAGTCGTATGAGTAATTCAATAATTAGAGATTTAAAGGGTTATACAAGTATATACTTATACAGTTAGATGGCCGAAAATCACTCGAATGATAAGAAATTTTCTGCGTCTATTCTGAAATATATTTTCATTAAGAAAATAAAATAAAAAAAACGATTGTTTGAAAATTCTAACTGTATATAACCGCTTATCCGAATTCATATACTTTCATATCTGGCGTAGAAGCTAGCAGCGCACATACGCGGATAAGGTGTGACAACCAAACCTCAATGAAAGTTCAGTAATAATAGTAAATTAACAAAAAAAATTATAAAGTCAATAAATCGATCCTTAGAAATAGTTAGTATTAAGTATAAAATCACAGCGAGGAAAATATTTTAAATCAAACTCTAAAGAAATTTTTTAAGCAACATCATCATATTAGAAATATGTAGAGAGAAAAAATCACCCTGAGAAAAGTGCTGTATTCTCTGCAGCTAAAACTGTATACCCTTAGTGTGTACTAATATTGATTATTGTGGTTCTTCAGCTGTAAATAATAGAAAAATACTGGAACATAGAAAAATCTATTTCCACTTATTACTATTTATTGTTTATTTTTTTATTTATTTATTTATTTATTTTTTTTTTGTAAAGAAATATAATGAACAAAAAATTGAAAACCTTAAATGTGAGAAAAGAACTAACATGACATGTCATGCAATTATTTCATTTAATTTTTCCTACCAAAAATGTGCCAAAATTGTTCTACAAAATAGGCAATATGGTCAACCAACTGTTCAGTGTTTAAATGATAAAAAATATTATCAATAGAGTACATTTAATAAATTAATTATATAAAGTTAATCAGCATATTTCCAGAAGTTTTCATTTATAAACTTTTTTAAAGAGTTTTTTTTATCTGTAATTGTTTTTAAAAAGTTCAAAAACACAAAATTTTTGAAATTCTTCGCATAATTATATTGCAAGCATTTTGTAAATTGTATCCAATAGCTCTCGTTTGAGTTACTGTAACGCTGCAAAGAATGTGAGTAATTTTCTGTATGTATTTTTCTTTCATACCAATTTTAATTAATTAACTTTACTGCTATGAATATTGGCGAATACGATTGCAGTGGCGTTCGCAAAAAAATCTTAGTTAGCTTATTGAAATTTCTATCTCATTGTGGCATTCTGTGCAATGCTGAGTTCGCATACAATATGTCATACATACACATATATATACATACATATATACATATACACTTTTATAAAAACATACATGGAATGTATTTGCAACAATTTCAAAAGAATCTCTTAAATTCTTTTTCATTAAATGCGTTGGAGAACGCAAAGGTAACTATTTTGTTCGTGTCAATGTGAGAAGTTAGATCTAGTAACTATATTGATGTCTTCAGGTGATAGAAGGATTTGTTAATGCATAGCTGGGTGAAGTAGTAGAAGAGTATTCATTTGATAAGCTACATATATTCGACCTATAAACAAGTTAAGTATAGTAGACTCTTGGTATACATAAGTAGTGTTTAGTATAGTAGAAATAGGGGTTAAAAAGACAACCATAATCAAGAAATCAATTGAAAATTAATGTATTCAAATAATAGAAAAATTTTGTGTTTTTTAAGTTTTTATACTAAAAACATATTTAATTAGAGTTTGGTAAAATTTTGAAGAAGACTTTAAGGAAAGTGAAAACACAAAATTAACCTCGCAGATTATAACAAACTAAATAATCCGAATTATAGAAAATATATCCACAGCATGAAAATATTTCTAGAAATAATATTGAGCATAACTATTGTGTATATACATATGTACATATATAAAGCCATGGATGGGACTGAAATAGCGATATGCATCACAAAAAATAGAATTTATTTTTAAAAATTTCGTAAACTTGAGTAATAAACTCTTAAACAACAGTTCAATAAAAAGAAAACACAAAATTAAAACTTCTCGTATTAGCTTACAGCTTATTTGAAAATTTTCGTCATTGAAAGAGTTTATAGAATAATCATATAAAATCAGAAGAGAGGGGCTACAAAAATCATTTCTTTCACACTGCTAGTTCAATAAACAGCACATAAGCTGAAACTTGAGTTCAAAAAATGTTTGAGGTTACTATTTTGAAAAGTTTTTTCCGAAGACTATTTTCGCAAAGAAATTTAAATTTTTTAACAATAGGAAAATAATTCTGTAACTGGATTTTTGAAAATTATTATAAAGATTTTTTTTTATAGGATATGTAAAATATTTTTAATATAGGAAAATAAATCCCACAGTCAAGTTTTAAAATTT